AGCAGTCAGTGCAGTGGTTACAGCGCTGGGCTCCCCGAAGGCTGACTGCATCCAAGTCCTGGACCCAGCGGCTTGAAAATCATGCTGGGCACGTACATGCATGCCCAAGATCCCAGGAAGAGAGTGGAGGAGAAGGGACTGTGACATGGCCAAATCCCTCGGGGGTGATTTCTCACTTCTCCTCTCAATGTCTCTGTCTACCTCTCTCTCTGGTGAGTGCACATGCCCCAATGGGAAAAGAACAAAAAAGTTAAGAACCTAATGAATAGGTTTACAACAAACTGGACTCAGCTATAAAGACAGGGAGGATATTTAGAATGAAGAACTGAAGAGCACAAGTTTAGAAAAGTCGGAGAGAAGGTGAAAGACCTGCAGGACAGAGAAGATCTCTAACATGGGGAAAGAGGAGTACCTCTCCCTGCTCCCGGGAAAAGAAGAGAGAAGAGAAGTAATACGTGAAAAATACTGACCGACAGGCAATTTTCCAAAACAGAAAAGATAGCAAGCCGTGAAGCAGACACCTTAACTAGCTAACAGTTGACACTTTTTTGCTACCAACAACACTTCATATAGTAGCTAAATATATGCTGAAAATGTATGTAAGTTCTAGGCCATGGTGGTGGGGGCAGAATTAAACAGTTCCAAAGGGAATACAAAAGAAGGTAAAATGGGGAAAGAGAAATAGAATGGGCAGGACAATAAATACTTAGAAGTTCACCAATGAAAATTAAAATATGTCAGTAATAACCTTAAATGTAAATGAATCAATGATCCAAATAAAGACAATTATTAAAAAACATACACAACTTACAAGAAAAATACAATAATGCAGAAAGAATAAGGGTAAGAAGCTACAAAAAGAGACACAAGGGCCAGCCAGTGGCATGGTCATTAGGGCGGCTGGATCCCACGAGGCCAAGGGCAGAGATTGAGTCCTGGACCCGGCAGGGTAAAAACACGCCAGGCACTTGTGCGTATGTGCCCCAAATCCCTAAAGGAGAACTGGAAGAAAAGGGCATAGGGATTGTGGCATGGCCATCCCCCATGGCGAATGCTTTCTAACTTTCCCACTCTCTCTCTCTTTCTCTGGTGACCACACACACCTTCTAGCAAAACTATTAAGAAAAGAGAGGGAACCAGCAGTTAGCGTAACGGCTATGTCACTGGACTCCCACGTAGTCGACCGCGGTTCGCGTCCCGGACCCGGTGGCTTAAAACTCACGCCGGGCGCGTGTGCATGCGTGGCCAAGATCCCAAGAGGAGAATGGAGAAGGGATTGCGGTGTGGCCATCCCCCTGAGGGGTGATTTCTCACTTTCTGTCTCTCTCTGTCTCTCTCTGTCTGTCTGGCGAGCGCACGCGCCCTGTAGCGAAAATCTCTCCAAAAAAAAAACAGAAAAGAATAAAAGGAAATTAAGAGAATAATTCCATTTAAATTAGAATGAAAACAGCTACAAATAATTTTAACTATGAAGGTGTTAAGATTTGTACAACGGAAAAACCAAAGCATGGCTGCAAAAAATTAAAGACTCCCTCAGTAAAAAGGCCTACCTTTTCCTGGCCACACTGACAGAGGACACAACGAAAAAGATATGAATACATGGAATCACCCTACTGGATCCCACACCCCATTCAACTAAACACTTACCTCCTTTCTTGAGATCTCCTAACAGAAAACCTCGGTGTTCTAACTCATCCCCCTTCCTTAAAAAGAGACAACCAGTCTCCAGTGGGCAGCACCGTCCTTCTGCCTCGGAGGACTCGCCCTCCAGTGCTCACTGTAAGCACAGGGACCTTAGAGCACACTGCGACCCCTCGGGCTCCGCAATGACCACCTCACGGACACTAACCGAGGTAAGAGGGAACACGCCCATCCGCCGTACCTGGCTCGTTGATTCTGCCAAAGGTGTGCCTGGCATTGTGCTTTTTGGTCTTGAAACACGCCTCACAGAAATCGAAGTCGTCGCAGCTTCTGCATTTGAATCTGGACCCGTTGATGGGGAACATCTGACAGCCATCGCACCTGATTGTAAGATAGCCATTAAGGTGACGAGAAAAGTTCCAAAGAAGCCACTCCTCTCGAAACACTGCAGCAGCCATGAACGTAACTCACGTGACGCCAGGATGAATGCTAGGCACCAGCTCCATCTCGGAGAGCAGCCCGGTCCAGTGGGACTGCTGGGGGAAGTCGACGATGATGTCCTTCCCGTTGGCACTGAAAGCTGGGGCAGGACAGACCACAGGAGGCGCCTTCAGCAACAGAGCGCTCACCCGGAGCGAAGGCTCCGCCGCCACGTGAGACTGCGTCACCGTCCAGGTGAACCTTTCCGAGGTTCGTGTCAGGACACGAACGGATCACTCAGTGCATGGTGGCAGGTGCTAACATCAAACTAACCGGGGGGGGCCTAGCGACAGAGCCAGGTTGGCTGTGAGCTGACGGTGGTTGGAGCTGAGTAATGGGCACGTGGAGGGTCGTTATACTATAGGCCATGCCTCCCTGCATGTTGAACATTCTCCACAATACAATGCTGTGTTTGGGGCCAGCTGGGGGTACAGTGGTTAGTGAAGCTGGACCCCAACATGCCCAACTGAGCAGTTCGAGTCCTAGATCTGGTAGCTTGAGAAACACACCAGGCACGTGTGCCTGTGTGCCCAAAATTCCAAAAGGAAGATGGAGGAAAAGGGGTAGCAATGGCCATTCCCCGGGAGGTGATTTCTCACTTTCCCTCTCTTTCTCTCTCTCCAGTGAGCACATGCACCCTGTAGCAAAACAAAATATTTTTAAATTATGTTTCTTTTTAATTGCACCAAATCAAAAACTCCACTTAGTACCTCAGTATCTCAAGGACCAAAAAACATAATGCTAGGACTTCTCTTGTCCTTCGCTAAGAGCAGCCTGCCACTTTTTAAAATTTTTTATATATTTTTTTGAGAGGTTTTTCACTATAGGGCGCGTGCGCTCGCCAGACAGAGAGAGAGACAGAGAGACAGAAAGCGAGAAATCACCCCCCAGAGGGGATGGCCATGCCGCAATCCCTTCTCCTCCATTCTCCTCTCGGGATCTTGGGCACGCACGCACACGCGCCCGGCGTGAGTTTTAAGCCCCCGGGTCCGGGACGTGAACCGCGGTCGACTACGTGGGAGTCCAGCGACATAGCCATTATGCTGACTGCTGGTTCCCAAGAGCAGCCTGCCACTTGAAACACTGACACAGCCCAGGAAAGCAGTACAGGCAATGGGACACCCTGGAGGCTGGGGGTCAGGGAAGGCCCAGCTTTGGCCCCCAGACCAAGTGCAGGAGGTCCACGTGGCTGCGCAGCCCTGCTGTCCTCGCTAGCCAGGAGCCTGGGCCAGTGTCACTGCTCACGAGACTCCATCAGAAAATACCTCTGGGCCTGCCACCACTAAACAGATACACAAAACACCACGGGGACAAAAAGCTTAGGAACCAGATTCTCATTTCAAAATTTGCCTTTGTATTGATTCACCAATCTTTTAAGAACCTCTAAGGAAAAAGGAGTAAGGTTCAAGTAGAACACTGAGCCATTTGTTCTCACGTAACCAGAGAAGCTCAACAACCTCCACCCCCTGGGGGTGGCGCCACCGGGCGCTCTAGTCTCTAGCCTGTGCGCTCGGATGAAGGAGAGCTTTCTACAGGAATAAACAGGAACAGCTCTTTCTGGCACCCAAAGAGTTTAATGGTAAAATAAAATCACATGCATATTTAGTTATTTGTCATGAAACTGGCTTTAAAAATTATTTAACTTTATTTATTATTATTATTTTTAATTTGGCCAGAGACAGAGTGAGAGAGAGGGAAGTGAGAAAGCAAGTCACCAGGTCTGGTACTTGAACTGCGATCAGCCACATTGGCGTTCAGCACCTCAACCACCACGCCACCTGCTGGCCCATCATGCAACTGTTAGACATAACAGGACAACCGGCGGATAGTGGCTAAGCTGCCAGACTCCCACGTGGCCGACCACCATCGTCCTGAACCTGGCAGCTTGCAAATCACAGCAGGTGCAGGTGCAGGTGCACTCAAAACCCCAGGAGAGGACGGAGAAGGGACTGTGGCATGGCTGTCCCCCTGAGGGGTGCTTTCTCACTTTCCCTCTCATTCTCTCTGGTGAACACATATACCCTATGGCAAAAACCTTTAAATTAAAAAAAAAAATTTAAAGATGGACATATTATACTTTTCAAAGTCTGCCACATCTGATTTGGAATTTCATTACTCACTGAACTCTAACCTGAGAATTCTGTGTTTCCAGTTCCTAACTCACCTCATTGGTCTATTTCCAATTCTTACATTTGGCCCTGAAATGTTACACCGCATGGAAAAGGGCAAGGCAGTCCCTGGCAGCCAGGACCGGGACCAGGAGCGGCCCGACACTCTCACCAGGCCCGAGGCAGGCTTAGCGCACAAGTTTACAGAGACCATCACCAGACCAGGCCCCTCTGCAACTCATGGACAAGGCAAAACCAAAAGCCTCCTTGATCACGTTTGATCGAGGCCACATCTCACCCAAGCCGCCGTGTGCCGCACATCTCCCCAGCTCGGCGACACAATGAGCGCCCTACCCGATCCTCGCCCTTGCCTGCCTCCCTTCTTCCTACCTTCTAGAAGAGATTAGTTAAGATACGCGGTCTTGGAGCCAGCAGGTGACATGAAGGTTAAGACGCTGGACCCCACATGGTCACTTACATGGTTTGAGTCCTGGACCCAGTGGCTTAAAAACACTCTAGGTGTTGGGAACCAGCAGTTAGCGTAATGGCTATGTCGCTGGAGTCCCACGTAGTCGACCGCAGTTCGCGTCCCGGACCTGGTGGCTTAAAACTCATGCCGGGCACGTGTGCGTGCGTGCCCAAGATCCCGAGAGGAGAATGGAGGAGAAGGGATTGCAGTGTGGCCATCCCCCCTGGGGGGTGATTTCTCGCTTTCTGTCTCTGTGTCTCTCTCTGTCTGGTGAGCGCACGCACCCTATA